CTGCAGACGTAGAAAAAGAACAGCTGAATGAAAACAATTCTGTAATCAAGATTTGATGTTGAAGGTACCCATGTTAACTAAATTGGAAAGATTAAATCGTGGAAAGACTTCAAATACAAATTTCTAAGTCATTTATTATTTTTAGGTATTTGTAGGCCATGGAAGATACATTTAATTTTCAAGGTAATTCAACCTACATCATGTCCAGCCATTCAGATTTGAGAGTTCAAACATCTTTCATTCTTGAATTTCCGATTCACTGTACCCAGGAGGGACGACCTGAATTCTAGGACAGGCCCTATCTCTAAAATGCAAATAAAAGATGTGGGTCAGTTCCTATTGTAATCATCAATGAAAGCAAAGCTGCTTACACATCTTTGAACCAGTCTGGACTTTGCACAGTACAGTTTTTATCTGTTAAACTTGGATTTCTGATTATGAAAGAAATACCAGCTTTTTACACCAGATTAGGGAAAAGAAAAAGAAAAAAAGCACTCCTAGTCCAGAGATCAAGGAGGATTTGTATTTATTTCAAGTTTTGCTTTTTGTTTTCTTTTAAAACACTTTCATAAACTGCTTGCTATATGCCAGAAACTAGGCTAGATGACTTCCATATTTTCTCATGTGTCATTCACTCTCACAGGAGATACAGTAGAAAGGGAACAAAGGATCATATGCAGTGAGGATGTTTGTGTATAGATTCTTTTCAGGGGAAGGCATTGTCCTAGAACTGCTTATCCTATATAACTGTGAAACATAGCCCTCTTAAGTTAGTTACTAACTGCTCCTGAAATGACGCTTGCTTCTTCCTTACCCAGATCATTATTGGATTTATGTAGAAGTGGTGAATAACTTGGACACATCCTTATTGGTTTATCCTGTTGTCTTGTATACTCCGAACAAATTCTTATGTTCTTTTTCACTGTCTTCTGAGCACTCTACTCTTTATAGAATATTTACAATAATTAGCAGATAGTCCTTTGCCCCTTATGAAATGCATCATGTTAAAGAGATGAAACTTGCATGGAAACATTATTTGAAGAGGATTATAAATACTATCATGTGTGCTACAAATATGGATGCTATTGAGTTACAGAAAGGAACAAAAGATCGTATGGGCTATAAAGAAAGTATTCACTTAAAAAGTGAAAGTTTAAGCCTGGAAGTAAATTTTAAAAACTGGATTGGTGGACAGTAGAAGGAGTTTGCTAAGGGAAAAAAGGAATAAGACCAGAATAAGACATGGAAGTGGGAAATAAGGTTTCCATGCAGGGAACTGAGAGCAGAAGGAGCTATGAGAGGAATATTTGACTCTAGTGATATACAGTCTGTTTCCACCACCTGTCCTTAAATGTAAAACATTGTCCTTGGGATGCTAGCATGACATTAAAATGTTTATTAGAAATTCACAAGAATCAAATAAGACATGCATTTTTTATGCTTGTAGCTTTTATTCAAATATAGAAGCAAGTAAATTTACAAATAAAATATAAACAAATCTATACGCTATTTAAATATGTAATGTTATGATTTTTTTTCACTGAAATAAAATGTCTCTATGCACGTAAGAAGGGACACATACTACCCCACCCCATATGTGTGTGTATGTGTGTATATAAGACATCTGCCTATAACACTGCACGCCATATGATGACTCAATCCTCTTAACACTTTATTCAAGTGACTTCAAAACTTTTTATATACATTACTACATAAGCATGTTGTTTGGTTTTCATTCGGCTGGAACCTATCATTAACATATTAAATCCATCTTTGTTCTTCTCAGCAGCTGGAAACTATCAAAGCATTGAAAAAGTCTCAGATCTATGATAAACACAAACAATAACAATGAGGTTGACCTTCCATATGATCCTGAATATAGTTTGTTTTTTTTAATTTTTATTATCATGGAAATAAACACACTAATTTAAGAAATCCTTGCAAAAAATTCATTGATCTCCAGAAATGCACCTATTCCACCAACCCCAGTCTGAGAACACTGTATTAAGTTGTTGGGAGATACAGATTTATAAAGGCAGGATCTGGTTAATGAAATGATTCTCACCTGTTTGGGCAAGCAGCAGAGTTTGACTAACTAGTCAGTCAGGCCCATGATCAAAGGAAGTAAACTTTGAAGAAGAGTAAAATAGTACTCATTTGTTGAAATAAAGGGGAAAGATCTCAGTAAGAAGAAAATTGAAGGACTGTTATATATTTGCAGATAATGTTGCATGCTCAGGTGTATCAAGTTTAACAGGTGACATGATGGTAATAGACAAGGAGGACATTTTTGCTGAGTGTGAAGGAGGCCTATATGAAGAGATAACATTTAGGTCAGCTTTACTGGATGACAAGGAATCAGCCATAGAGAAGTGTCTTTAGACAAATACAAGAACATAGGCCCTGAAACAGAATCAAGTTGTGCATGAAAGCAGGGACAGAAAGAAATAAGATTTGGGGGAGCCAGCCAGGAGATGAGGTCAAAGAATCAGTTATAAAGTCTGAGACTCTAACATGGCAAAAACTATGAAATGGAGTGGATGCTTCTGTGGTCATCACTGAAAAAATGTTGATGGGAATTTGGGATGTTTTGGATATGAGAACATAATGAGAGAGAAGTATATATGAACAACAGTTGGGGACAGGAAGACTAGAAGAATGATGATTTAATTTTCATAAATAGGTAAGTTAGTGAATGAGGGGAACGTTTGAGTGGAAAGACACTGAATTGTAGATAATAAAAGATCAAATAAGTCTCGATCAGTGTTTTGTAAAACACAGGAATCAGAAAACAATGGATTATGTATGTGTAAGATGCACCATCTTAGAGAAGCTGATTGAAACAAGGAAGTAGAAGAGTTATCAAATGTATGGAGCTAAAACATGAGATCAGGGAATGATAGAGGATTGTGCCTCAGAGGGAATGGGAAATCTACAGAAGATACCAAGAAAGAACCAGGAAGAGAACCAGAACAGTATAATGGCATGTATTACACAGAAAAAAATTAAAAAGACATTTAAGGAGGCAGGTCCATCCATGTCAAATGCAGCTGCAAATTTAGAAACAATGGAGGTTGTCCTTCAGCATAAGTATCATGAGAAGCATGGTGTGGTGATAGTGCGATTGCAATAGATGGAGAATTTATGGAGAAAGCTCGTGGTGAGGAGAAGACTGTCAAGGGGCCTGATTAAAATGAGCAGAGTGACACAAAGTTCTTTAAGTGTTATTGGCTATGTATGGCAGGTGCCAAAGGTACATTCTCAGCAAAACCTATCAATAGGTAACAGATTGGTTTTATGTAGTGAAGATGTTTTTGGTTTGAGAGCTCTTCCTGGGTTCCTCACTCGAGAACTTCCTGAGTTAATGGCTATAGCATTTTGTCTACCTGAGCATGGCCATGTCAAGGGAAGCCACTAATGAAAGATATACTCATATGGAGCCCCTTTTATCATCCAACTATATCACTCTGAATCTGTGGAGTAATTAATTTACCTGGATAGCTGAAAAAAATACCTCTGGGAGCCCCATAATTTATCATTAACATTCCTATTTGAGGTACAATCCCCCACTATACCACAAATGTCACTATGCCACATTATCACAAATTATATAAATGACCACACATGAGTAATTACACATGAGTAATTGCATCGCATCTCCAGACATGCCCAAACTGATCAAGAGCTAAGCCTGGAAGGCCTTGCCAGGACCTACCACTGGGACAAAAACATGCTTGTTGGAATGGACTTTACTGGCAAGGTGGTTGTGGTGGTTGGTATGATGCCCCTTTAATATTGGCAAAGGTGAATATTGCTGTTGTTTCGCATTCTCAAAGGGGGAGTCAGCCAGTATAGTGTGAATCACCTTGATATCACGATACGCTCTTAGCCCACATGAAAACACATCAGTTTATTTTTAGCTAGAAGAATATATATACAGAAAGGTAGAGGTAAGTATTGATAGCACTGTGCAAAATAATTTCACCTGTGTTACTTTATTTAAATTTCAGAGCAATTCTTCAAGTAACATTAAGGTTATTATCTCCATTTTTACAAAGAAAACTAAGGCAAAAAATACACATCAATGTCCCAGATCTCACATAATTAGTAGAGTGCGGCGCCAGCATTTGAATCTAGTTTTGTCTAATGTCAAATCATATACTCATCAGTACAACAACTGGTGGTAAAATATGAGTTATTTATTGAAAGCCTTATTGTGGTCTTCTTACCCTGAAGTGTAATTATTTATTTATAGAAATAATGTGCATAATTTACTATGTTACAAACATAAAAAGGAGATATTTGAGTACTGAAAATATAGACAGACTTAATATTTACTAGACTGTGAGGTCCTATAGACCAGAATCTGGATTTTACTTGTTAATTTTTTTAATCTCTTTTAAATTGACTGCCTAGTGGAAATGTAAAGAATTCTCAATTAGCAGATAGATTCTTTTTTCTTTTTTTTAATTAAAGAGAGTGCAAGTAGCCCAGCTGTCTAAACAGCGATTTTTATAGAAACGTTGGTCATTATGATCTATAAGGCATAAGAACCTCTGAACTAATAATGTGAGAAATGGAATCCATTCTGCTCATTAAAAAAGAAAATAAATAACTCTGACAAATCTTCATCTCACTGTAAATTAAAGTGTTATATTGAACTGAATTTCCCCCCCCCTAATGATTAATTGGAATCACTAAAGAGAAAGCTCTCTCACTTTGCTCTTTAAAATATGGATGTGAAATGACCTCAGAGTCATTGATATGAAGTGACCTCAAATGTAATCAAGTTCAGGGCACACACACACACACACACACACACNATATATATATATATATATATATATATATATATATATATATATATATATATGTCTTCATGATTTCATCATATGATAACGGAAATGAAAGAACTCAAGATAGTGGAAAAGGCTATAGGTTGGTGTTCTTCTCTGCTGGATAGTGCTCCAGTGCCATTATTGTTATTTTTTCCCTTGCAGGTGAAGACAGATGACAGAGTGGTTAAGATGGACCTCGGTTTACTCTTCCTAAGGGTGCGCAAAATGGATGCCGGTATCTATTTTTGCCAGACAGTAGAGCACAGTTTTAGCCACACTATCCGAAAAGTCACCCTGGAGGTAGTGGAAGAGGAGAGAGTGGAGGAAATGTTTACCAAAGACTATGAAGAGGACGGGCCTCACAAGATGCCTTGTCCTGCTCAGAGCAGCATCCCGCAGGCAGCAAAACCATGGTACAAGGAGTTCTTGCAGCTGATTGGCTACAGCAACTTCCAGAGAGTGGAAGAATACTGTGAAAAGGTATGGTGCACAGATAAGAAGAGGAAAAAGCATAAAATGTCACCTTCTAAGTGGAAATATGCCAACCCACAGGAAAAGAAGTTCCGTCCCAAAGCCGAGCACTATCGCCTGCCCAGGCACACGCTGGACTCCTGATGGGTGAAGCCATCGACTGGCTTCTGAAGAATTTATATTTGGAACCAAAAAAAAAAAAAAAAAGAGAGAGAGAGAGAGAGAGAGAACAGCAAGGGAGAGAGAGACAGAGAGAAGCCATCCAACTTTTTTGTATTGCTTACACGAGATTTCTGTAATACAGAAATGACTATAAAGGTGTTATGATAAGTTATTCTACATACTCATCTAATTGGTTAAATATCACATAAGAATAACTAATTTTTTTTAAAATAAGTGTATTGCTCAGTGGTTTCACATTGTATTTATCAAAAAGTGACCATAACTGTAGTTTTGAGTACTTGGCTGCTTTTTTCCATTGCAATACCCTTGGAAGACTGAAGATAATTGGAATATTGATGAAAAGCTAAGTATTTTAATAATCACAGAATAAACAAAAATAAATGTTTTAATCTTTCTGAATTTTCCTTTTCCACCATTATGTAAAATATGCATAATATCAGATACTTTAACATTTTTATGTGAACCATCTGTAGTTTTTAAGAATTATTGTATTAGTGTTGTCAAAGCCATGAGTTTTATGAAGCAGGTGTGTTATAATTATTGTAAACCATGAAAGAAAAATTGTGGTCACCTTGAGGTTTGTGCCCTTCATAAAACATTTATTAAACCACATTCACGATAGTTATGTTTCATGATGAAAACACATCCTTTCAATTTTACTCCAGTGCAAAAGAATGATGTGAAGGTTGCTCCTCAGAATGATAAAGAATGTCAAAATAGATGGAGTTACAATTAGAACTCGAACTGAAAAAAATGTTGCTGCCCTCTTCTGGGAGAAAAAGTATATTCTCTCTCTTTTTTTTTTTTTTTTACTCCACAGTTTGTTTAAAGATTTGAAAGCAATTTATCAGTAAGTACATTTAATCCATTTTCAGAAAAAAAACACTAACTGAAATAAAAATGTGTTAATGCTTATGTCATGCTTTAAGATAGAGATAACATGTTTATGAATAATTTATTACCTCACAATCCAAAATGACAATAATACAGCACCAAAGCTCATAAAAACTTAAATTATATGCCTTCCAAATAATCTTCCCTGAAATCTAAAATATATTTGAGAAACATAATGTTTTATTAATGTAAAAATATTAAAGCATTTTGCTTTCAATTTTCCAATTTTCCAATTTTGTATTAACAAATAGGAAAATTATTTCATGAGTTCACTTCACTTAACCAAGATGTTCAGAGCACTTTTACTTTTCTCTTATAAATATTATGAAGAGATTTTATTTTTGAAAATGTTTATTCCCTGAAGGTTTTTTTTCTCCTATTTTATTTAGCAAGTACCTTTCTAAAATATAAAATTTTTGAGGTTTTTTTTTTCATTTAAATAAAAATAAATAGCAAATGAATTACACATGAAAACATGTATGAATATTTAAATGTTAATTTTAAATATTCATTTTAGTTTCCAAATTAGCTTAAAGGCTATATAATTGAGAAAGTTAAAATATTGAGAACATGTAATGTCTTTCAATCTCAAGCTAAGATTAACAAATACGTAAATGTTTTCAGAAAGTTTAAGGGGTTAATTCATTAAGCCACCAAGCTCCAAAAGGTCGAAAGGATACAAATATATAGAGAAAAATTATCATTTTCTAAAAAACTCAGTTGTTATTTACATAAGAATCCACTGGAGGTCATTGCTACCCACTAATATTAACTGAAAACAGAATGTATTGAAAGTTATGTTTCAAAACACCCAAAAATTGTACTTCAGTAAAAGCTGCCTAACATGGAGAAATAGAACCATAACCACAGATTACAGGATCCTTAGCAAAGTTTATGTCCAAAATACTCAAAGTGAACAGATAAGTCAATAAAGCACTGTTTATTGAATATATTCTTCCTTTAACACAAGAGAAGAGAAAGCAGGATTTTCTCCTGTTTTTGAATTAAAGAAAAAGTAGGGTAGACATGGCATAAGTAGTTATTTTAATCTCAGTAACACATACGAGCAGTTAATACTAATGATATCAAACTTGTAACCCAAAAGATTTGGTAGCAGAAGTGTTCGAACTGAGGAAAATAACTTTTCTATGACACATCTTACGGATTGAAAGACCTTACAGCCTGCTTGATTAAATGAGATGACTATTCGCCAGAAAAAGAAAAATTTTATGTAAAATGCTAAACTTGATTCTGGAAAAATAAATACAACCCAAATCTTTTTAAACTGCTGATTTGAAAAAGTCCTGATAAGAGAATTTTGAGGACTAAATTTGAAAATTTTGGGAGAACACAAAATTTATATTTATGCCAGAGGTGCCAAAAAATGTATACACATTTTAAGAGATGTTATCTATGCTCAAGCAGAAGTTCGCCGTAACCAGAAGTGTCTGGGCACTGGTGGTAACCACCTTGAGCACCTCTTGTAATTGTGGATGTCTAACGTGACTTCTATTCATGTTTTGTTATTGGTATATATTATTATAATTAATACAGTTTTTCTTCTTTCTTAAAATGTGTATACACTTTTTTGGCACCCTGTGTGTGTACACACACACACACACACACACACACACACACACACACACAAACACACTTTAAGATGAATTTATTGCCCTCTCAAAAGACAGACAAACCTATGTTGGGGTTCTGTCCTTGAGAATCTGAAACATACCCCAAGAACACATCCCTAGTCTTTTGTTCTTTCTGGGTTTAGAATTCAGATTCAGAATCTCATTTGAGAAATGCCCAGGCTTGGAAAATCACAAATGAACTGATAAGCTTTACCCCCTTCCCTGAACTTGGGAAGAGTACATGCTTAGCCACATGCCATATTTGGAAGAATTAAGATTTTGCCCCGACCACACCTTATTTTCATTTTCCCCAGACATAAACTCCCTGAAAGAGAGAAATGCTCTCTAGCAGGACACAGCTGAAAAAGAGTCATGACCATCTATCCTCGTTACAAAGGGGCGCTGCCATGTAGGGTCCGTCCCCTGCTTCTTCAGACCTCAGTTAAGTTATTCTGTTAGGAAGAGGACCTGTGGATGGAGTGAGCCTGGACGTGACAATGCACACCTCCTCTTTCAGTGCTTATGCCACCTATTGAGCTGGAGCTGCGGATTTATTAGCAAGGAGAATGACACTTTGAAGGGATTTTACTTCACGATCTGTGATGCCTCTTCCATGTCTGACCTCCTACATTGCTAAGTTTCCTTTTGTGTTTATTACCAAATACTTCAGTGCAAAGCTATCAGCTTGGAGAAACAGGGATTAAAAATAGAAATAAACACTAATAACAACTCTAGGAAAAAAGGGAACAGAAAGTCTTTGCCTATTTAGTAAATGGAAATTCCATATATATATTTTAGAATTTTTTCTTTCCTCAGATTCGTTAAGTACTTACAATGTTTTTCTTGTGTCTAATATTTGTTATAGGGTGTAGGGTTTTGTAAATCTTCTTAGTGATTATAAACATTTGTAAAATTTGTAAAATAAGTCATTTTGAGTGTTGGTGTTAAGCATGAAGCAAACACAGCAGCTGTTGTCCTTACAAATGAATTATCTTTAGCCTGACAGATATATTAAGACAACTACTTTGCATTGTATAGACATTTGAGATCTCAGGAGAAACTGCTACAGTTATGATGACAGCAAGAAGCTGATGTTCCTTTTCTTATAACAGAATAGCACATCAAGTTACTTTTTCAAAAGCCGTACTCATTTTTAAGGACAACAACTGTTGAATTTAAATCAGATATAAATAATAGATTTTCAGGAACATTCTTGATTCTAGTGTGTTATTTAAGCTGGCATGTTTATTTTTCTGGGGAAGATAGTGTTATATTTTGTCTTTCATTATAAATTGAATGTGTTCTGTTTGTTTAAAGGGCTTAGTTATAAGCTAGAGTACTATATTGGGTATTCTTGTCTGTATGACTTCCTTTTATGTGCTTGCCTAGGTCCATAACAGCATGTAGCATATTATTTTTTTCTCCTAGTTATAAGCCACGACTTGTTATCATCAGGTGGCAAGCTGCAAAGACCATTAACAATGTATCTCATTGACTAGCATATGATCTGCCACTACACACTGCATAATTTGTACCATCATGTACAATTCCTATTTAGTTCAATTTAGATGATAAATAAATATTTGCTAACCCCTCATGTGCTGTCTGAGGACTGTTTTCTAAGTTTTTGCCAGTTGAATTCAAGTTTCATGTTATATCAAGCCCAAATGTAAACATGCAATGCTAGACTAGTACAATACTTTTGAAGAAGTTAGAAAAAATTTTAATTCTCTTTTCTTGGAAATTCATGTCAACTTTCTTCAGTTGGGAAAAGTCTGTTCATCTCATTATCATGTAGCAGTTGGGTTTATTTAAGCCACCTCATGCTTCTAAGACCAGCAGCTAGAAAGTCCTTTCCAAATGGCATCATCCACATAAGAGATGGAAAATGAATGCTTTTAAAATATAACTGGTAGGATGTTTCCAATTTTTGCAAGCCCCCATTTCTATCTTGACGTATCTAAATTGCTGTTTTCTCTGCTATTTTTATAAGACCTTGGGAAGGTTATTTAAATGACATTTAGTTTTAAATGAATTTCTCTTTTGGGAGTTTTGTTTTCAAGTATTGTATTGGTAAATAATGACAGTGTTTTAAAGGAAGAATTTGTCAGCAGTTCCAGCACAGTGTTTTCTGGCAGTTTTATGATATGACAATGCCATCAATGATAACTGTGTATACATGTTTTAAACTTGCACTCATTCATAACACAGGGCCTGCTTTTAGTGTAGTATGTGATGAACCCATTGAAACTGTTCTTTAAATACATATTCACTCATCAGTCAAGGGAAAGTAGAGAACCATTGTGGTGAGTAGAAATCTGTTACCTATTATTTATTCAAGGGGAACAAAGTATGTATCTATCCTTTTATCCAAAAGCTATAGGCCAGGCATTAGGCCAGGTGCTTCATAAAGTATACAAATGTTAATAATGTCATTATGTTATATGGATAAATAAAAGTTGAATTATATTTGTTCCAAGAATGTGTTGACAGCTTTCA